TCTATCTATCTATCTATCTATCTATCTATCTATCTATCTATCTATCTTGCTAAAGCTCTGAAACATGCTGTGTGCTTTAAGCACACAGTCCTGTCCCTTCAGACAAGCCACACTCTAGGTCAACAGTCCCACGGGACCATTGACTATCATCCCAAGCAAACTTAGAGAGAGTGAGGCTTGCTATGAGCTCACTACCTCCACACAGCAGTTTCTGTCAGACAGGCCCTGGGAAACTTAGGGAAGCTATTTTATAAATCAACACATTAAAGAAATGTAAATTTTTGGTATAATATATGACACAATGGAATATGTAAGAATTCAAAATATTTATAGTGACTAGATCAATTACTTGTCCAAAATAAGGACAACTAACATAAATAAGATTATGTTAGATCACTAGTAATCATTTATTCTACATTAATATTTAAATGTTTTTATTACACACCTACCATTTATTGCCTGGTGCCTGTGGAAGGCAGAAGAGGGTGTTGGGTCCCCGGAAACTGTAGTTATAGACACTTGTGAGCTACCATGTGCTTGCTGGGAATCAAACCCTGGGCCTCTGGAAGCACAGCCCAGTGCTCTTAACTGCTGAGAAATCTCCCCAGCTCCTCTTCTACATTAACTTTTGTGGCTTCTTTATTAGCATTTGAATATGTTAATTTGACACAGAACACAGTGGTTTTTGGATGCACAGCCAGACATGTACTTCAGTGTCTTCTTTCTCAGGTGCTATCCACCTTGTTTTTCAGACAGTCTCTCTGGCTTGGAGCTCACCCAGTAAGCTGGGCTGGCTGGCCAGTGAGCCCCAGGGACCCTCCTGTCCCTTCTTCCTAGGATTATAAGCACGCATACCATGACACCCAGCTTTTTCATATGGGTTCTGGGGAATCGAACTCAGGTGATAAGATCTGCACAAGTACTTTAATGAGGTAGCTCCTTAGCCTGAACATAATCTCCTTTAAATATTCTAACATAATTATAAGCATCAGCAAAGAAACAGCAATAAACCATTTTTGAAAGTATTGCAAAATCCTTCTTTCCATGGAACCTACCATTGGTATGTCATGTTACAGTTTTAATAGCTCTAACTTTTTTCTCATAAAAAATTAAGGAATGGGCATTTATCATGACAACCCTATTATGTACAATTAAATATAGCATCATATTTAATGTATTAAATGTCACATTTAGTTTTAGACTATTCATTGGGATTATCATCAAATATTACTTGATTACATTACTAAAATTCTGAATCGTACACAGCAGGCAAATTCTGTGAGTGCTGAGAGGCATGTTGGGGGGCATGTGTGTGCCTGTGCACGCGTGTACAGGTGCACCCCCGTGCAGCAAGGTACAGAGGCCAGAGGCTGAGGTCAGCATGCCTTCCTCTACCACTTTACCGCCTTTTTTTTTTTTTTTTTTTTAAAGACAGGGTGTCTCACAGAACCTCAAGCAGACCAGTTAGGCTACAGTAAATGGTCTGCCTGTCTCTGTCCCCAGCGCTGACGGACAGACAGCGACCAGCACATTGGATTAGATTTGGGTGCTAGCGACCAGGCCTCAGGTGCCCAGGCTTGCGGAGGAAGCACTTTAAACACAAAGCCATTTCCCAGCCTTTTCGTATGTGTGGTATGCAGTATGCGCGTGTGTCCAACTTGTGGAAGCTGGCGCTCTCCTACCTTTATGTGGACTCCAGGGGTCACACCTCGGCTGTCAGGCCTGGCAGCAGGCTTTATCTGCTGGAGTGTTCTGTCAGCTACCTTGGTTTTCAGGACAGGGTCTCCCGCGGATGCTGGATCTCTCTTTTAGCTAGACTGGCAGGCCTGCAAGCTCTGGGGACCCAGCTCACTTTGTCTTCCCACACCGTCATCCCTGGCGTGTGGGTGCGTGTGTGCGTGTGCGCATGCTAGGACTGAACTCAGGTCCTCATGTTGCAAGTACTTTACCTATTGAGCCATCTTCCTAGTCATCTTCCTAGTAACAACTTCCTATATCTTAAATTCAAAGAGAAGAAACCATTACTAGATTTCGAAGTCTCTTTGGCAGTCACCCACAAAGCCTAAGAGCACGCACATACTTACCTTTCAAGCAGTGTGCTCCTATGGTGAAGGAGCTCTGAAGCTCACAGCTTCATTAGTCTGTCTCTAGTTCAACACAGGTGTCCGCTAAGACACGAGCGTGAAACGAGGACAGAACACTATACAGGCAACTGCTACTTCATCTCAAGTCCATCAACGATCATTTTGTTACCTACTGCAATCTCACTAGTACAAATAGTTACAACTCAGAAAGGCCAAAATTCTTTAGACTTTGACTTTTCAATGATTAAATATTCAAAAGACTGTCTTTCAAAAATACAGACCCTTTCTCTCAATCTCTTTTCACTATTCTTGGTGAAAAGAATTCTTGGTGATACACAAGGGAAAACTGCCACCAAACAAATCATTAATTCTGGGATGCTATGTATGTGTCCCTCTACTGTCTCCTGACCAAGTACCCAAATCCCCCATTCCTACTTAAGATTAGGATCAATGACTGGTTCATTCTACAGGCAAAAGAGCTGCTCAAGACAGGGATTAGGGAAACTCTCGCTTGAAATTTTCTAAGAAAAAAAGCTGCTTCCAAGCTAACAAATGCTAACCCCCTAGTCACTAACACTAAATGCAGAATATAAAGAGGACACCGCGACTCTCGGCCTTGGCCAGATGTCAGAAATAGATGACCACTGTATTAAAAGACTCACATGCGGCATTTCTGTAGAGAAGGAAAGGGTCCTGGAGCTGGAGGTCCAGGTCTTTAGTAATGGGTTCTGTTCTGTTTTCCATGCTGAGCCTATTCATAATGGTGAATCCGTGTTTTGGAGAGGCAGACCTGGAAATCACGGAGCAGGGGGAAAGACAAATTGCTAAGCATGCCAAACCTGCAGGGTAGCCACATTCTGACATCGTTTACTACCTTTGCTGTGTGCATTCAGTTTCCCAGTCTGCACACACAGGAAGCAACATTCTTTATTCCTGGGATCCTACACCATATATATATACACACACCTATATATCTATGTACCACAGACTGCCCTTAGGGTCATTTTTAATATATGCGACTGTGTATCTTGCATGTGTAACTTATCTTCCTACCTGTGCTGTACATTCCTTTAAGACAAAGATGGTAACTGTTTTCAAAAAAACTTCTACTGACAGATACTTTCAAAGGGTTTCAGAGTTAAATGAGTGTACATCAATTACAAAAGGATAGTTTTTATTGAAAGTGTAAATGTTAGTTTGAAACTGAGAACCTCAGGAAAATGAGGCAACTGTCAACAAACCTGGGAGACGAGGTTCATGTAACTGCCTGGAGGGCAGGTACCTTGTTGTCTTTGATAAAAAGCAAATGGCTGTCTGGACAAGCTACTATAAAACTTTTCTCAGTAAAACTGTGACCTTTAGATAACCTTATTTTTCAACTCATTCAATAAATCTTGAATACCTCCTCAGTAAGGTACCAAGGTACATCATGTGTGCCTTTGCCTGTGCTGGGGTGACAGCCATATCATAATTCAACCAAGAACCCTCTGGTGACAAATAAGTACAACATCCACATTTAACAGAGGCGAGCAGCACTCATTCATTCAAGTTAAGGAGGCTGCTAGGGTTATCACTAACAATCTGGGAGAGAATCAGTTTTATTTATTTTAACCACTTTATACCGATAAAGTACAACATTGCTACTTTGCCAAGTACAGGGTTTTATTTTTAGCGCCCCCCGCAACCTTCTAATCGATGAAAGGCAATCTTTGATGTGCTTTTATTCTACAAAGAGGTAAAGCACTGGTAGGTATAGCCTCAATTTCAAAACCAGAAATTTCTATTTAAACTTAAGAATAGATGAAAATGAACTCCCAAGCCTGACAGAGGGCCCTGAACATAAAATTCCAGAAATTTCAGTGAAATTCGGAAATCTCACTGACTGTGTCTGTATGAATGCTATCACAAGCAGATATGATTTTTAAGTAGGATGAGCCATCTCCATGCATTTCAATAGCAAAAGGTCTCATGGCATAAATGGCATGGAACCATACCACAGTTTATCCAACAAGCCCAGAATCAAAGATGCCAGGTGCACTAAAAACACTCCTGGAAGAGAAGTGAAGGTGGAGCGCAGCCAGCATCATGTCCTTAACTCAAACTGCTGTCATTCCACAGCGAGGTAACGGTCTCTCCAGAACAGGCACGTGCACATGCGGGATGGGCAGGCACCCGCGTGGGAAGGGGTGGAAGGAGAAGGTTTCATCATAAAAAGAGATAGTTTTGGGAAGGGAATTAAGAAGAAGGAGGGTTTATTTTTCTCAGCCAAATGGTGTGACTTATTATTCCATTAGCAACATGGAGCATATTAAGCTATATTTGATTTGTGTGATGGGCTGTGTTCAAGTGGCAGAAGAGTTGCCTACCATGCACGAAGCCCTGCTTCCATCTCCAGTATTACATAAAATTGGCACGTGGCTGTAGTTCCAGCACTTGGGAGGATCAGAAGTTCAAAGCTATCCTTGGTTACACGGTTAGTTTGAGGCCCACCTGGTCTACTGAGACACTACCTCAAAAATAAAAGACTTGAAAATGCAAAGACATACTTGGTTTGGGCACAAAAGAGAAAATAGTTGTATAATTCAGCAGAAAAGTCCTTAAAATCATCACCAATATATATTAATGACTCTCTCCCTTCAAAATAGCCCTCCTCAGAAATGAAAGAGAATACAGACTGAATGCTTTAGTTTTTCTCTTTACGCTTTACATTCCTAACAGTATTCATGCCGAACAAATCTACTTGGTACTTATGGAATGTTCTGGAATAGAACATGGACTAAAATGCCAATAATTCTTGGGTATTCATGACCTGAAACGACGAACTTGCCCAGCCTGCAGCCTGGCTAGCCATTCCTTCTTGTCCACTTGCTTTCCCTGGACGACAGGGCAGCTGCCACCCTCTCCCACTGTTCCTATACTATGCCTCCAAATGGCCTCTTAAGGCTGTCCTAGTTCTGCTTTTTATGTTCTCAACTTATACCCATTTCCCTTTTGACAGTCCTCTTAGACAATGCCAACCTCTCCAACAATTGCCCTATGCCAAGCGGCTGGATTCCTGAATTTGAACTGAGACCACTGTTGTGCTACTTCAAAACCCTGAAGACCAAAAGCTGGGGGTTATAGCTCAGTGATAAGAGTGTGTAAGCTTGAGGCCCTCACATCCCCTGCTCTGCAAAATACACAGAGATCAAGTAGAAACGTAGACCCTGATCTGTGACACCCAACCCCTTCTCTCCCTGGCTGTTCGAATTCTACTAACAATTCAGTCATTCAGTTCAAATGCTGCCATTTACTCAGAGGCTCCATTTCTCAATGTCACCATACCCTCCGTTCACACAGACTTTCATTTCAGCTACAGTTATTCTGGTCCCAACTCTAGCATCCCCTACCTACTTCAAGGCAATCATCCTCTTAACATCGTGCCTAATTCCAGTTTCTTTTAGAACAAGTGCCTCCTTGTGATGCTAACACATTGACTCTCCATGCATTTTCACAGCTTATTAAGAATCCTGGTGTCCATAAGCCTTCAGCTACTCCCTACTGCTAGAAAAATAAACTTCAGAACCCTTAGTCTGCCATTCTGTCTAATAGCATCACTTATGCTAATATGAACCTTCCTTGTTATTACAATTTATTGAATTTGTGTCCTAGCTGTGGCCCCCTCCCTCATCTCCTTCCAGTCCCACCCTCCCTCCCCCTCTTCTCCCTCTATGCTCCTCCCTTAGTCCACTGATAGGGGAGGTCCTCCTCCCCTTCTATTTGACCCTAGCCTATCAGGTCTCATCAGGATTGGCTGCATTGTCTTCCTTGGTGGCCTGGCAAGTCTGCATGCCCCCCTCCCAGGGGAAGGTGATCAGAGACTGCCACTGAGTTCATGCCAGAGAAAGTCCCTGCTCCCCTTACTAGGGACCCACTTGGAGACTGAGTCTATGGACTACATCTGAGCTGGAGTTTTAGGTCCTCTCCATGCATTGTCTTTCACTGGGGTATCATTCTCTTCATGGCCTCCAGGGCTCAGTTTTTATGGCTCTGTAGGTCTCCTTTTGGAGCTCCTGTAATAGGAACCTTCTATATCAGAATAAATCCCTTACTGTCCCTTTATACAAGAAGCTCTGTGTCTCTACTTTTGCCTTTCTTCCTGTTGAGACTTCCTGTCATGAAGCCCAATGTAAGGCCAGTCATTGCACACAATGCCTTCCACAGCCACAGCAGCCCAGTGCGGCTTATTCAGCAACCAGTTCTTGGGACGGTGTACCCTGTATTGTGTTTATCTTAAACTTGAATATATGTAAATATACACTTATTTCTTCAGTGAAACTGTTACACTGGTTAGGGTTTATTTTTGTATTTTGTTTATTTATGTTTAGTTTTGTATTTAATCTATGTACTCCCACTAGGTGACAGAATTCAGGTAAGATATTTATGTGGAAATTTGAATGGATAAAACGTAGTCATTAAGACAATATACATACTGTGTGTCTGCACGCATGTGTGATGTTAATGATATCTGATAAAAAAAAGAAATGATTAAAAGCACGAGCTTATTAATTAAATTAATTCTGAAACAGCATTAACTAGACAGTGGAAGACTGAGAGACAGACTCAGTTCTGGGGCGTGCTTTTTTAAGCAGTTAAAGGTGAGGGAAGGTGAGCCACAAAGCCCTTTCCAACCGCCGACTAATTTAGCTTTCCTAACAGTGCACCGCTAATCTCTTGGCAGTGCAGCGTGTTAGAGAACCGTGTGCAAGTCACTGGCATCAGACAATGACTAGGTACTGCTAAACCAAATATTAAGGTTTAGGTTGGAATTACAGCCTGAAATTAGTACCATCTGAATGTGCCAGGTGACATTGTGTGTTATTTTATTCCCCCTTGCCAACTAGTCATTTCAGATGGATTCGGTTGTTGTACTTCTTTGAAAGAAAACTGCCTTTCAAGAAGTGACAAAATTAAGCTAAAATATTTCAAAAAGTATTCTTTTTTTAAAAATGGATACTCTTACCTTGTATAAACAAATAAGGTTCCTTCCACTCCAGTCTTCTCCTAGAAACAAAGCAGACACATCCCATCTGTACGTTCTCTTTATGCTAAGGCAGAGAGTGTGAACTCACAGAGCACCAGGGAGCCACACCCTGGCAGTATAGTACAAGAGGGGCCCCCAGGAAGGGGAAGGCAGGCATGGGTTGCCAAGACCAGGGCCTGTGAGGACTACTCGGCCACTATTGTCTTTCCCAAACACCGCGAGTGGCTCGCCTGCAACAGAGAAAGTGTGCTCTAGATTTAACCAGGAGGAAGAGATGGCAAGTGTGTGCCCTCTCCTCCAGCCACCTACGTGCGACCCCAGCAAGCTGTTACAGTAAGCTGTGATCTGCGCCGCATTCCCTCCACTTTATCTTGCGTTCACTGCCGTGTCCTGTCACGATGATGTCAATAACTCTACTCTGATTGTGAGACAGACAAGGCTACGCTAGAGTCTTCAAGCGAACAAACACCTTCTTGGCATGAAATACTGCAGTCACTTTGGCCAAAGACTTGAAATAACATTACACAGAAATATTACCAAGTTAGGACTCAAGAGCTGCCAGGGGAAATCTGGGGGAGGTGGTGAAGTTATAAAGAAAGTTTGAGCTCTTTGGCTTTCCTTCCATTTCTCCAAGACAGCAGGAACTCCGGCTACTTGGGCTCCTGTTCATCAGCACAGCACAATGCAGTTCTTTTGCTTAACCAGTGATGGGATTATTGTAATTCGGAATTTAATGTGTGCTTTTGGCATTTACATAATTTAATTTAAGCATTCTATTATCCTATTTAAGGCCTCAATTTTTTATAATATTCACTACCCAAATCATTTAAAACTAAGTACTCTATAATGCTGATGCAAGATACACTCTTTAAAAAATGCATGTCACGTTGGAATAACAATTTTTTAAAGGCACAGAACTGAAAGTATGATCTTTTCAAGCAATTGAGTACCGCTGTTTTCTTGGTGACTTGGTGCAGGGAGCTTTGAAGAGTGGTCGCCAGATGAGAAGCAGCCACGTCACCCGGGGCCCGTTAGAAATGCACTCTTAGGCCTCTGAGCAAACCCGTTCAGAGCTGAACTGGCATAGCTAGCAAGTGTTTAGGCAGTATACAATACCTTTAAGAGGAAATTGCAAGAGCCAAGTTTTTGGTACTAGGAGTTACACTGATGCGAAACTGAAGCAGAGACAGGTATAGAGAGCTATGTGCATGCACTGTTAGGCTCCTACAAGATCAAAGCAGCTTCCCAGTGTCTGACCTGGGCCTCCTCACTTTGGAATGCAAATCAAACCTTCCATATTATCTGCACGCATAAGCTGAGTGCTTCCAATTGATTGCTTTTCTTCCCTTGCAACAAAGATTCTCTTTACTTAAAGAACAAAAAAAGTTAACAACTTTAATTTAGAATAATCCAAAATCAGAAGTTTAACTACAACTCAAAAACAATTCTCAAACTTGAGTGTTGTTTGAAGTTGCTTGTGAGAAGGAATTACATGGTATTCATGGGAAGGAATTACATGGGTATTCATGGGAAGACACAGTAATCACAACATGAGCCTGGAGTGAAGTTCCTGCCAGATCACATTGGGATAATTCATTTACTGTTCTGTCTCATCTTCTCCATTAAAAAGATAACTGGCTTACACAACTCAAATCTTTTAATAATTAAGAAAATGCATTTTTAAGAGCCCTTACTTGGCTAAAAGGAGCTCTGGAAACGTATTGCATTGCTGTTAGAGCCATGCTGGCTCAAACTGATTTTCAAAGGTGGCCAGGTGTCTCTCTCTCTCTCTCTTTCTGTACAAATCAGTGAATTTAGGGCACAGCAATAGTTAAAACAGGCTTTTATTAGCTCTCTTCAGATCCTCTAGATAAGGCAGACTTAAAGTTATAAGTTCACAGTTCTGAAGTATTTTAGCCTAAACTCTGAAAGTAAAGGTGGAAACACACACACGTGTGTGCGCACACTCACACATGTTCATTACTCAAAACAATGAAGAGTATAAATAATGCTGTTTCATAAACTGTTAGAAGTAAATAAACTGACATCTGAAACAACTGAAAGCAATCTCAAATTTTCTGAATTTTCTAAATTAAAATAATCAAAAGTGGGTCCACCTTATTTTTCTGAAGCTGTCCCTGTCCATTGCACACCTAGCAGCAAAGCCACCTTTGCAGCTTCTGGCACTATCACAGCCGTCTAGGGCTCATCCAGAGCTCCGATCTGATGAATTGCACCTCTGAACTCAGCTGCTGTGATGCACAGGAAACTCAGAACTGTTAACCGGAAATAAGGTTAAGACACGCCTTCAGCTTTGCTTTGCTCATGTTCTGGACTTCCTATGTAAATGCCTGCTCACTGCAGGGCATTTGGCAAGACCTCTGCTTCTACTCTGCGGATCCTGCCAGCACCCTCATCCTCTAAGTTTCCTAACACTGTCAAATGTCACCAGAGTTGGGGGTGGGGAGAATCAAATCCTCTGGGAACAAATGGTCTGACTACCTATAGATATTCATTGACAAACAGGGTATTTCGGGGGAGGAGTCTTTCTTGGCAAAAAGGAGTAACGTTAGTTCTAAAATTCCTATTCTAGTTATGGCAAAACTCTTAATACTTTGTGCTTTTATGTGTGTGTTCTGGGGACTAAACGAGGGCTGTACACATGCTAAGGACATGATCTACATGCTAAGCACATGCAGTCCCTTGATCCTCATGCTCTGTGCACCCTTCATTTCTCCTCTGAATACCAGATGTAGATGTCCAACAAAATACAGACTCCCCTGCTAGACCCCACTGGCCTTCTTGCAAATACTTTCTCTTTCATTCCTAAGAATATCTTTATATTTCTAAGGTTCGCATTTGAAAGGCTTCCACCCAGAGATCTGACTGACACAGCACAGGAAAACAGCAGTGACAACTTGATTCCCCCCCCCCCCCACCCCGTGACTGCTCTGTTGTTCAACTGGGCCTCTCTCCTTTGCCAGGCAACCACAGCCTAGAAGATTAGTACTTTGAAAGAACGACCTTTTACTGAATGAATTATGCCCTATGTGAAGAAAACAAATCCAGGAAGCAGGAAAACAAGAGCCCTGTAGATAATGCGTCATGACACTTTTGATGTGGTGTTTGTGACTGGCCTTCACTGGCTATCTGGCCTTGCCTCTGTAGGGATTTTTACAAGGTCTCTGCCACACAGGGCTAGGAAGAGGCTCTAGGAAACCTGTTACTCAGGCAGGGAATGCTCCACTGGACATTTCAACAGCGTCTGATGTCTAGCCTGAGCCTCCTGCTCAGTCAATTTATGCCACTAACCCTTATTGGGTCCTACACCATCCACACCTCCATGTAACTACAACCTGTGGGGCACAACCCCTTTGGCAGGCCTCTAGCTCCCTAAATATTTACATTACAATCCTAACAGCAGCACAATTACAGTTATGAAGTAGCGAGGAAAATAATTTTAGGCTTGGGGGTCATCACAACATGAGTTTAAAAAAGGTCCTGGCCTCAGGAAGGTTGAGAACCACTGCCTTAGAGAGAAGCACCTAAGTGTGGAGTATCTTCACACAGATGCATGTTTTGGTGAAGGAACTCCCTTTACATAAACACCCATATGGTAATTTCCTCTGGTGACCAGAAAAAAAACAGCCCCAGTTAACAGAGCCAGAAGCAGTCAGAACCCTGAACATTTTCCCTTCCAGTCTGGCTACTAGAACAGACAAGAATTCTTTGCCTCGCCTCGGTTAATAACTTGGAACAAAACTATTGCAATTGATTCCCAACCATTTTTCAAGGGTGCTGGGGATGGAGCCAGGTGCCTGCCCCAAGCTCCATCTCCACTCCTTTCTTCATCCTTTTTGTGTTCTTGATTTTCATGTCGTTCTTAGGAAGGCCTACCTAATAATAAATCTGCTTAATAATTAAAGTTTTCCTTGCATAAATTTTGATGTTTGTTTCAGAGTTGGTGAACACACCACATTAAAAAAATCATTTGAAACCCTTGCAAACTGTTCTTCATATCCCATTGAACCGTATTAAGACCGATGGTTATATACAGATGAATAGATGAATAAATATTTGGACAAAAGTCACAAATGAGGGACAAATGACACCTTTATATTCAAAGGGGTGGTTTACAAATGATATGAATCAATGCCTACGCCAAAACTAAGTTGTTTTTTCATTCCAATTCTATTCTAGTTGTGAGGGAAACCAAACCTCATCCAGTCACTGTAGGCTGGGGCTCGCTCTTGTGAAATGCACTGAAACGGTTTAGCCTACCAACTGTGAATTCCTACATCAAAGTCTGGGGCTTCTCACCCATACCCATCTCCTCTTTATTCCCCCAAGCTTGCTCTTAAGTGGGTGCCTGCCCTGCATTTCTGACTCCGGCTTCTCCCCCTCGGCGAGGCTGGACTTCTCTGCACCCATCTAAGCTAGGGGCTCCGCTCTGCCCTCCGCTGCCGGGGAGCTTCTGTCTTCCGGCCTCAGCGGCTCGGGCCACACCTTCGGTATCCATCTTCCCCACCCACCGGTGGGTCGCGCAGCCCGCCCTCCACCAGGACCGCTCCCCGCCCGCCTGTCCATGCCCAGCATCCTTCCCCCAGCGCCCCTCCCCGCTGTCCGCACGGCCGCCGCGTCCGCACGCACCCACTCGTTGGCCCGATGGCCGAAAGTGTACAGAGCCACCTGGCTGGCCACGTCCTCGATGCGACTGATGTAGGGGTCGTGGCGCCGCAGGGCTGCCAGGCTGATACCATGCCCCTTCCCAGGCAGGCCACCAACCACCGAGGCCGCCATCTTCCCACCCGCCCTCTTGCCCGGCCTCCAGGAAGCCCCCTTAATCGACTGCCGAACGAGCGACCGCAGCGGGGCGACCTTCCGGCACTTGGGGACCCAGGCTAGGCTTGCCAATCGACGCCCGGGCCCTCTCGCGGAGGATCGTCGCCCTGGCAACAGGAAGCCCAGGCCTGCTCTCCGAAGCCCATTTTATCCGCTGTGTTTTTTTCAGGAGCTGCGTGCATTTCCTTCTTGGATATGGCCCTCGCCTCGACCTAGCTCCTCGACGAGCAAACGCGATCAAAAATAATAACTCCAAGAAGAACTCTGAGGATTCTCAAAGGATGCTCCCCAATAGCTGTGAGGGATTCCTGGAGAGTCTCAGAGGCCTTCAGGGTTAAGACTGTCCTCTGCAATGCTGAGACTTGCCTGACGTGCGCACACTGAGGATGAGTGCACCAGTACTAAACTAAGGCAGATCCCAAACTTTATCACCAGTCGCTGTAGTTTTGCTGCTGTGCATTCTCTGGAAAAGTTGACATGCAGCTGAAGCCAGGTGTCACTTGACAAAAATTGCTAATTTTGTTAAAATTCAAGCTCTGGATATACTTTAAAAAATTATCCCGGGGAGTGTGTGTGTGGGTGTGGGGGGGGGGGGGCTAGAAAGTATTTGCCTCTAGGAAAAAATGTTCTGTGCTTGAGGTGGGCTGACTTGGTGGTTTTATGGGGAGGAGGGTTGTTGTTTCTTGAGATAGATTTCTATGGTAGGCTTCAACCTGTCGAGCTCTGGCTTGGGTCTCCAATGCTTGGATTACCCGGCTCTGTCACCCATCCAACCCAGGGGGTTTTGTTTTTACCTCCACAGAGCATTAGTTTAACGTGAAAGAAGATGAACAAACTATGGTTATTCAGATAGATACTGGATAGGCTTTTTCAAATCTGAGATTTTTTTCCTGTCACTTTCAAGAAAACGGGATACTGTTGTTGCCAAGGATAATTTTTGAGATTAATTCTTAAAAATTGGCCATGAGCTTGACAACATCTCAATACTTAGATCTTTTCAGATGAGATCTGTGGTGATAGCACTTAAAAAAAAAATATGGTCTAAATGGAAACTGTCAGCATTTGAAGGATATTACTCCCTTAGCTCAGCGACACGTTGCTTTTTCACATAAGATATCGTCACAAACTCATGCATAGGTAAAAGATCCACTGAGGGTCAAGGTGGACCAATGGACTTCAGTGCCCCACAAAATAGGAAAAGTTGATAGGATTCCAGGGTGTCAATTTTTGATATATCATCAGAGAATATTCATAGTTACATTAAAAAGGCAGTAAAGATGTATCCCTTATACAATTACACTGTGTTTGTGAGGCTATGGCTTGTTCCATGTATGTGAAAGGATGTACATATGGCAGTAGATTATAGGCAGGAACAAACACAGTCTCACTATCTACCAAGCCAGACATGAAAGAAACTTTCTAAAATGTATATCATTTTTCTCATTCTAATAAGAAAATATGTTCATGAATCCTATCTATATTTATGTTTATTTTTTTATTTTGGGCTTTATGTTTGTTTTTTATTGTGAAATGGGCTTATGTCGCTAACTCTAACTGGCTGTATAGCTAATGTTGACCTTGCGTTCTTGATCCTGCTGCCTCCATCTTGCAAGTGTCAGGTGTCCGACACCACCCCCACCTTACTAGTTTTCACTTGCTCTTTTATGTGTGATTATGTATTCGTGTGTGTGTATTCACGTGTGTGTGCAGGTACATGTGACTCTTTGTGGGGGAGGCAAAAGTCGACATTGGGCACCTTCCTTGAGTACTCTCTACCTTGTCCTTTGAGATGGGAGATCTCTGCACTAGTGCCCTTATTTTTATTTTTAAAAATTTACAGCCGTGCTTTTTAATACCAGCACTTGGGTTGCAGAGACAGGTGAATCTCTGTGAGTTTCAGGCCATTTTGGACTCCACAGTGGGTTCCAGGCAAGCCAGGCTACATAGTGAGACCCTGTTTTTAAGAAACTTAAAATACAATAACAACAAAAAAAATGTGGAGCTGGTTTAGCAGTGAAGAGCACTTTCTGCTCTTGCAGAGGAGCTAGGTTTTATTCCAGTAATTTGGAGGTTTGTAATGGTCTGAAACTCCAGTCCCAGGGCATCTCAAGCCCTCTTCTGGCCTCCAAACACCAGGCATGTGCTTGGAACATACATACATACATACATACATACAGGCGAAACAAAAACACACTCAAACTAAAAACTCTCTAGGATAAAATGATGTATGTTTGTGTCTGATGTGCGGCTAGCGTATATGTGCATAAATGTGTGTGAGCACAGACTCTCGACTGTGCATGGCTTGTGTGTGTAGATCGAAGGACAGCCTCAGGGTCAGTCCTTGCCTTCTACGTTGTTTGAGGCAAGACCTCTTGCTCACCATTGTTCCTCTGCTTTTGCCTCCCATCTCACTGCAAGCGTGCTGGGATTACAGATCGGCACCGTCACATCCAGCTTTGGGTGGGTTCTGGGGATCTGAACTCAGGTCCCTCACGTCGTCTCATGAGCGCGTTATCCACTGGACCATCTTGGCAACTCGTTTTACTTCTATTATAAGCGAATAAATCCTCTGTAGTTGTTGGCTTCAATTCCAACACAATGGCATAAGTCACGTAAATGAAAGTCTCTTGAAAGAATTCTTTATAAGTTATGAAGCTTTTAGACCAACAGGTTGAGAATCAATGATAGAAACCGTTTGCTTTGTGTTGAGAACCCTAAACCCACATTTATGAATTCTGGCAGAAAGATGAGCCTCTCGAAGCAATAAAAGACTATGATTTTCATAGTTACGCTTTTCTTTTTAATTGACATTTTTCGATTAAACTCCATTTTAAATGGTTATATAAAATATAAGCATAGGCCCCCAATGTAGAAGAGTACAACAGGGCCTTCCAGAAGTTTTAAAACTGGGCCTGAGGTTAATTAGCAGTCTGACCCGGGACATACATTCATATATTAGTGTAAAGGTTAGTGTGAACTGTCAACTTGACAGGCTCTAGAACACGTAGAGCTTCTGGGCCGCACCTGTGCAGTATGAGCTAGGCTAGTCTTTGGACATGCTCATGGGAAATTATCTTGATGAGGTTGGTTGACGTGAGATGAGAAGCCCGAGTGGCAGGCAGGACCATTTTCTGTGCTGAGATCCTGGACTATATAAGATGGAGAAGGTAAGCCAGACCATTGCTCTCTTTATTCTCTGCTTCCTGGTTTTGTATTCCATGTGACCTGATGGTCTGCTGCTGGGTTGAGCACCACACCAGAAGTGTCTTCCTCCAGCAGGACGGTTCAGGAACTGTCAGCTTCTGGGCAGGAACAGAGGAACCTCAAGATCAAAGGTTCTGTTTCTCTCAGGGGCAGCTAGAGCACTCAGGGCCAGGCCCCTGTGATAGCCAAGCCTTCAGTCTCACCAAGAGAGGCAGAAATTAGTTTTCCCCTGGTTGCTACAGTTAGCTCTTTTAAATGAGATTGCAGGTATCAGACGGCAGTGGAAACTCAGGGGTTCCAAATGCCTGGGGTGCTGCTGCAGTGTTACAGCACTTTGGTTAAGCCCATGTATTAACGGCAGGGGTGCGGAACTTCCATGCCTGGTCATCTCGCAGCTGAAACACAGGCCTGGTGATTGGGTGCTTCTCCGCCCGTCAGACCAGGCTCATGGTGGACAGGCAGGCTCCAGGGGTGACCTAGGCAGCTATGGCCGGCAGCTAAGTCCTGGGAGTTCAATGACATATTTTCAGGGAGGAGGGGAGCCCTTCATTCCCCAGAATAAGTGACGAATATCAGATAGTCTAGGTAGAGGAATGGAATGAGAGAGCGTTTAGTTCATGAATCAGGGACATTATAAACCATGGTCAGTGGGAGAGGTTCTGAGGGCGAATGTGTTTGATTTGCTGGGGCTAGGGGCTCCAAGGATACCTCATCTATATGTAACAGAACAGTCCTATCGTAAGAGGAGGAAAGCAGTACTTAATTATCCTATGGGTGGGGAAAGAACTCCAAGTACGGTCAAAGGTCATTGGTTGCAAGCCAAGACAACAAGATATCTTATTAGAATAGGGTGGGTGTTTCCAGCAATCCTCAGGTCCACACTGAATGGGTTTCTTATCAAGAAAGGGCCGAGTTTTTTCTTTTTCAAAAGAAACTCTTTTTCTTTTGAGTTTCTTTTGTTGCAGTAACAGGAAAGGAAGCCAAGGTGACTGATATCAGTTATTAACTAAAAATTTCATGAAATATTATATTAGTGAAGGTTCTCTAGAGGGATAGAACTGATAGGATGTGTGTGTGTGTGTGAGAGAGAGAGAGAAAGAGAGAGAGAGAGAGAAAAAGAGAGAGAGAGAGAGAGAGAGAGAGAGAGAGATATTCCTTAAGGCATCTTACATCAAAACAATAATATCAGTTGTCTCACACTTGGGATACTGAAAGTCTGGTAGTTGCTCAGTACATAAAGCTATATGCCCCATGAGTCCCAATATGGAACTGAATACTTGGGTACTTGGGCAACTTCTGCTGGTCCCTACTCAACAATAGAAGCCTAGAAACATGGGTTCTTATATCAGTATCAGCAGCAAATCAATCCTGTAACAAGAGAGAAGGCCAGCAAGTAAAGGTGAATAATATTCCTTGTGCCACACCCTCTTATCTGGGCTGCATTTAGAAGACAATGTCCATACTTGGGGTAGGTCTTTCCATATCAGCCAACCAATTAATCAATGAAGGCAATCAGGATAATTCTTGAGGTGAGGCTCCCTACTCAGGTGATTGTAATTTGTGGTAAGTTGTGGTCACAAAGATTAACTGTTTAGATAGATAGATAGTTGGATAATGGGACACACACAGTTTTTGTTTAAAAATGCTGACCCTTTAAGGTTGATTTCATGATTCACTGAAGGAATGTGACTCGCAGTTTGAGAAACAGAACAAAACCATGTTGTCTAAATATCATTTAGTCCTTACGGCCTTCTACTCCCCT